TGCGTGCAAGTCTCTGACTCACTGCAGGTGAGGTAAGAAGTTTAGGGTCTGTGAAGGGCAATGGGGTTTATGACTCTGATAAGGTGAAGACCTGAGCTGAAACAAGCCGGCCTGAGCTGTTCTGAGATTAGGCATTGCGTAGGGCGGTTAGTTTGTTAGGGGAAACACACCTAGTAAAGAATGTACTTTATCTGTTGAGGGATTGCAGGCAGACATCTGAGAGCCCAGGAATGTGGGTCATTGGACCGTGAAGGATGCCAGTTGGCCCCACATTCTCCTCTGACAGATTGGCAGTGACAACTCTTTGGAACAGGGGTGAAGGTCTCATCTTCCATATCTACCTTCTGCTGAATGAGGGTGCCGTGCTGTCCCTGCCTATGATGCCATTCTGTATGGGATTATGGGGCCCCGACATCCATGCTCCCCTTAAAGATGGGAGCAGAAGGAGACCCTAGTTGCTCCAAGGGCTGCATCACCAGGATGCTGGCTTGGTTCCTGGTGGCTATCCTGGTAGGAAGGGTGTCTTTTTTCCTAAGTTCATGAATCTTGGACTTCAAAGAGAGACAATCATTTTTGTGAGAGGAATACAATACAAAAATAAACATACACCAAGATAAATAGCTAAATCCAGTAAAAACAGAGAGAAGAAATTTGAGAATGTCTGAAAAAAAAAAGAGACCTTATCTGTTTGGGAATCTAGGAAAAGGCATTGGAGAACCAGTCAAAGACCTGTTTTGTGACTACAACAAAATAATAAACACTGGCATAAGGATGTCAAGAGCCATGTGGTTTTGTAAGACAGCTCTCCTTAATGGCCAAAGTAGATGTCACTATCAGTGATTTTAGTGCTTTTCTAGATATGAGATGCAAGAATTTGGGTTCATAAAGTCATTTCCTGAAAATATCTCACTATCTGAAGGCCTGTTCCACCAGTTTCCCCAGAATACAGAGTGCCTCTTTTCTGACTTCTGCCCTGAGCTCCTTTCGGGGTGTGCTGATGGTCTTGCAACTTAATTCAGTGGCTTGCAACTTAATCCTTGTAGAGGCAGATGGCAAGTGCCCTCATAATCACAAATACAATCATGGCTTGGAAGGCATTTCATGACCATTTCGTCCCACGGTGCTAGAAGTTTGCTCATTTCTAGGTCAGGCGAAGATTTTGTTGGTGGGCCACTCCATGTGCTATTACAGGACTAGGCCTTATTAACAGTAGCAAAAATCTCGGGACCACCTGTCTTACTAGCCTGTTATAGTTCAGGGAAATATTCCCTCTCGTTGCCATTCCCCATATCTAGAGTTACTATGATCCTAGTGTTATTAGGCTGGTTATCCTTACTACGATTTAATGTTTTCCCAGCATAAGGGAGCCTAAATGACTGCAGCCTGGTGTTAACCATATAAATCCATCCCACAATTATGGGAAGTGATATTTTTGCTGATTAACCTTGAGTAACTTTAGAAGAAAATTTATATTTATAGCCAGAATTAGAGCAAGTATTAATTAGCCAGGTGAAGGAATCCCATCTAGCAATATCACTAGGGGCCTGAACAGAACTATAATTTCTTTCCTCTAGAATAAACTTCCTAAAGCCCTACCAATTAGACCCTTAGAATGCAGAAATCCATTAAGGTAACCCAGAAGTACTGGATATAGGTAGTCGACAATAAACTTAACAACTGGATTAACTTTAACTCTGCCTAAGATTGTGAAATATATTTAGATTACTGAGCTTAGAAATAAACCTAAAGTGTTCTTTGAATAAGTCAATTAAACTCCGTAACAACCTCCCAGGGGCAGGACAGCTTTTTGTTGGCTGTGACTTGTCCCCTTTCTTGTAATCTAAGGGCAAGGACTGGTCTGGGAAGTGAAGTCTTAGTAAATACAGACCTCATTTAACAAAACTGGAATTTAAAACTCATCAGTTACAAAAGAAGTTGGAGTCAAATTGGGTTTCTGGCAGATGGAGTACATCAAAGATGGCTAAATCCTTTTTACTAATATTTATGGAAAAGAGACAAGACTTTTTTTTTTTTAACTTTTTTTGTTGAGTAATAGTCCTTTTACAATGTTGTGTCAAATTCCAGTGTAGAGCACAATTTTTCAGTTATACATGAACATACATATATTCATTGTCACTTTTTTTTTTTCCACTGTGAGCTACCACAAGATCTGAAACAAGATGTCTATTTGTCCTTAACAGGTCAAGTCACTTACCCCTTTTCTCAAAATTTGCATTTTAAAAAGATGGCAGATAAACGTTCCTGAGACCAGATGGAACATTTGCATCTCAAAGGTAGGTTCCTCCTAGAATAAGTTTGTTCCCTTAAAGGCCAGAAAAAGGCTTTTTCTTTTTTTTTTTTTCCCACAAAGATACTTACAAGTCCCTTAAGCTATGTAGGGGAGGTTTGGGGAGTGGTAAAAGGATTGGTAGGTTTTGGATTCTTTCTGGAGCCATACTCTGGTCCTGGCAGTTTTGAGAGACAGCCATAAAGGCCAATTGCCCAAGTTCTGACAAGAGAATTTAGCTGATAGGTGGTGTTATAATTTAGGGTTCCAGTAAGGGGCTAAGCCTCTTGATATGGAATTGGTATTGTGACCAGATGGTGTTACAGGAAAAGGCAAGGCACTAATCTCTTTAAGGTCTGGGGATTGAATATTTCCCAATTCTTTAAAATGCAGCCCAAAGGTGAGTCCTGGGGGATAGAGGAACTGTTTCCCATAGCGATTAAGGGAGGTATCAGAGAGAGAAAGGAACCAGCCCAGATTCTATTCTGGGTGTCCCCCAGAGAGAGGCTAACTGCGCAACCTCTATTCTGGGTGTCCCCCAGAGAGAGAGAGGCTGAACTTCCAGCGTCCTCTTACCTTGGGCGTTCCCCAAGAAAGAGAAGCTGATGGCCCAAGGGCCAAAACCAGGTGAAAAGACAGCACAAAAGGCTGGAAAGCAAAGAAAAAAAGGAGACGGGGACTCACCTACTGGCGACTTCTATCTGGTGCAGCGGAGGCTGGAGGCTCGGCCAGTCTGCAGGTGTGCTCCTCAAAAGGCAGAGAGAAGGCACAGAGGTGCACCAGGTGGTTGGGCCTGAGAACCAAGGAGTGTTTCAAGGGCCAGCATCCGAGGAAGGGAGAGAGAGAGGAAGGGAGAGATGGAGAAGAGGGCATTTAGAAAAGAAAAGGCGCCTTTCTGGTGTGTGTTCACCCTGAGCGCCGGGGGTCATTCCTGTCTGTCAGACTGGGTTTCAGAGCCCGCTGAGAGCAGCCCGGCCAGGGTTCCGCAGTCCTCGGCAAGGCTTCTGGGAAGTCCTGAACACTAGGGAAGAGCAGGAAGGTATGAGAGGAAAGGGAAGAGGGAACCTACCCTGACCACTCTGGCCTCCAGAACAGAGCATCTGATCAAGCCAGGGGGAGACCCCCATAGGGAGGAGGCATAGAGAGAAGCCCAAAGGGCTCCCTTGGAGTCTTGGCCACGTACAGGACTCCAAATGTTGTGGGACACAGGCAGCAGTCCGTCGGTGTCGCTGGGTTGGTAAAATAATTTATCAGAGATGAAGGAGAATAGGAAAGGAGTTTATTAGGTGATGCTGCCATAGACAACAGTGGGCCACACAGACGAGAGGGGCCTGTGTGAGCCTGGAGGTAATATTTTAAATGTAACGTGTTTATTTGCAAAGATTTGAATAAATAGATATTTCTCCAGAGAAGATACTAAAATGACCAATAAGTTAATGAAAAAAAAATGCTCAAAACCCCTTGTCATTAGGGGAATGCAAATCAAAATGACAACAAGATACCACTTCACCTATAATGGGATGACTCTAATCAAAATGACCGACAGTAATGTGTGCTGACATGGGTGTGGAGAAATCAATGCTCTCATACACTGCTGGTGGAAATGCAAAATGAAACGGTCACTTTGGAAAACAGTTTGGCAGTTTCTCAAAATGTTTAATATAGAGTTATAATATTATTATAACAATTTCACTCATAGGTAGCTACCCAAGGGAAAGAAAAACATACATTCACAAAAGACTTGTACACGAATATTCATAGGAATTTTGTTCATTACAGCCAAAACATGGAAACCACACAGATGCCCGTCAACTAATAAATGAGTGAACTGTGGTATATAGTACAGTGAACTATCACTCAGCAGTACAAGGGAATGAAGTACTACATGTTACAGCATGAATAAATCTTGAAAATATGTTAAATGAAAGAAGGCAGTCACAAAAGACCAAATACTGTATGATTCTATTTATATGAAATGCCCAGAACAGACAAATCCATAGAGACCAAAATTAGGTTAGTGGTCCTAGGGCCTGGGGAGAGAAGAAAAACGGAAAGCAACTACCTAATGGGTACAGGGCTTTTTTAGGGAGTGCTTAAAATATTCGAAAACTAGATTTTAGCAATTTTTGCTCATCTGTCAGAGTCTATTAAATACCACCAATGTGTATACTGTAAAGATTAATTTTATGGTATATGAATTATATCTTAAAAAGTTATAAAAATAAATATAATGTATGAGTTAGTGCAAACCTAATAATACATACAAAATGTGGGGGTACATGGACTGGGGAAAAAGTAGAACAGAGAAGACTTCATGGGGGAGATGATGCTGAATCTGTGAATTTCTTGTCTTTCACTCAACTTTACCTCTCAGCACACTGGGAGTCAGTTTCATCAGGCTTTGGCTGCCCAGATACATAAATATTAAAGACTAACAACTGCATTTAGTTCTGAATGGAAAACACGTTCCAGAATGCACAAGCACATAAATCCCGAGAGATTAAGCTTCGGGCAACTCCAATTGCCACAGCTAGATCGCTAATAGAGGTCATTATGACAGGTCAGCTACACCTGAGTTTACCTAATGATGTATTTTTTTTCCCTCTTTAAAGACTCATAAATACAAGAATTCCCAGGAGACAAGGACCCTTCAAACATTTTATTCTCACAGGATGTTGAATGAGTAGACATTAAAACCCACTTCATTTATCTGGTTGTTAACTGCATAACCAAAACAATTCAGATCTCCAAATGTTTTGCTCACATACTAAAAACCTAAACAATATTAAGCAGCACACTAGAGACAGGAAACGCCTCCTGGAAACTCTTGTAATACTCAGCGCTTTGGTACCACATTCAAAACTTCCCCAGAAAAAGAAAAAAAGTCTCTCTCTTTTATCAGTGCGTATACTCAGAAATTACAGCATTTAAATTCCTTACTTCTTCTCAAAAGACAACATCTGTGAAAAAATGAAAAATAAAGCTTTAGACTGTACATCCCAGAGCTCATATATACCATTAATCAGGGGCGCAGTGTTTATGATCCTGCTGGTTACTTATTAGCACTATTCCATCGATCTCACACGGGGAGTAAATAATAATAACAGGGAAAACATAATTCAAAACACGAGAGAGTCCTAAAGTAGAATTTTTATTGTAACCTAGGAAACAAGAAATTTGCCAATCGCGTCTCCTTGTATAGCACTAAATCAGGGAGAAAGTGACAAGAATGAGTTGCCCTAAAAAAAACCTGCATCACGAATTATACACGTCTTCTGACCTTAACATTTCTGGCAGAAGAAATTCATGTCAAACACCACTGTGACCACAAAAAACTAGCAATCGATGGACCAGGAAGAAATATATTTTTGCAGACTCAGTGACAAATCCCTGGATAACATTGGGAAATCATACTTTGTAATATAGTAGAAGTGTACTGAGTCACAGTTGAGGTTAGCCTACAATGATAGACTAGTAGAATCAGAAAACGGTATGCACAAAGGAGGTAATCCCCACATTTCCACTGACTCACAAAGTAGACTGTATCTTGACCTCCCTCATGGGTGTCAGTCATTCTCTGCTCTGCAAAGATGTCCTATTGGATGAGAAGAGAGGAAAACAAGATCCTGAAGGGTCTGGGGTGGGGAGGGGCAAGGAAAGGCCTTTATGACAGTCTGCCTGCCTGGTAGAATATCTACAGAAAAATTAACTGTCCTGTATTGTGAATGTTAACTTCCCACTAGTATTTGCTTTGTGCTATTTTAAAAAAAAAATTTTTTTTTATTGAGGTCTATTTTACTGCAGTGAAGTAGGTGGACTTCAAGGGTATAATATGGTCAGTTTTGGCAAATGGATAAACTCACATAATCTACACCCTATCAAAATGAAGAACATTTTCATGGCTATAGAAGATTACCTTATGCCTCTTTCTAGTCAATCGCTTCCCACCCAGGAATAGCTTTATTCAGATTTTCCATCACCATCAAAACACTTTTTGTTGTTGTTCTACCACTTCATATAAATATGAATTTCTTTATGTCAGGATCCTTTCACTCTGTATAATCCTGCTGCATGCATTTGTAATTTATTCCTTTTTATAGCTAAGTGTTATTATTCCCTTTTGTATTTGTTCATTCAGTCCTGCATTAATGGAAATCTAGACTGTTTCCAGGTTTTGTCTATCATGTATAAAGCTGTTTGAATATTCTTGTACAAGTTTTTCTTTTTTTTTGACATATATTTTTATTTCTCTTGAATAAAACTGGACTAGCTGGGTCAGAGGGAAGAAGTATGTTTAAGTCTTTCAAAAGCTACCAGTTCTCCAAAATAGTTGCTCCATTTTGTACTCCCACCAACAGTTTTCTACTATTTGCTTTACACTTGTATCAACATTTGATTATAAGTCTTTCCATTTTAGCCTAGAATTTCTAGTGGCTATGTAATTATTTCACATGGTAGTTTTAATTCACATTTTTCTACTGATTAAGGATGTTGGCTACATTTTCATGTGCCTATTGGCCATTCATGTATCTTTCTTTGTAAAGTATCTGTTCAAGTCTTCTATCCATTTTTATATTGGGTTGGTTATCTTTTTATTATTGAAATGTAGGGTGTTTTTTTTTCTATATTCTGAACACATGTCCTTTTCTCAAATATAAGTGTTACAAGTATTTTTCTCCCTGTCTATGGCTTGTATATTCATTTTTTTAGTAATGTCTCTTGATAAACAGAAGTTTTGAATTTTAAAAATTTCAATTTATCATTTTTTTTCTTTTAAACTTAGCTTTATTTCTATGTCACTTCTGAAAATACTTGCCCAACACAAACTTGCCAAAATACTCCCCTATTTCCTTCTAGGAGCTTCATTTTAGGCTTTTACATTTAGGGCTATCACTCATTTCAAATTAATGTTTGCCTGTAGAGGTAGAGGTCAAGTTTCTTTTCTTTTCCTTATATGGATGCCCACTGGTTCCAGCACCATTCATGAGGGGAGGGGGGCTTTACTTAAAAAAATTGTTTTTGCTATTTTTAGGTTCTTTGAATTTCTATATAAATTTTACAATTATTTTGTCAACTTCTATTTTTAAAAAGTCTGCTAAGATTGTGATTACAAAGAATCAATAGACCAATTTGGGGACAACTGGACATTTAATCATGTTGAGACTTACCATTTATAAGTATGATATGTCTCGCCATTTATTTAAGGTCTTCTTTAATTTCTCTCATGTTTAATATTTTAATATAGAGGTTTACACAACTCCTATTAAATTTATTCCTAAGTATTTTATAACGTTGAGTGTTATTTATAATGCTATTTTAAATTTTACTTTCAAATATTGGAAATATAAAAATATAATTTATTTTTTCATATTGGCTTTTATAACTAAACCATTGTTAAACTTACCTATAAGTTCTAGCAGATTTTATATAGATTACTAAGGAATTTCTACAAGTCCAATGATATCAGCTACAAATAAAGGCAGCTTCATTGCTTCCTTTTTTATCTGTATGTCTTTTATTTCTTTTTCTTGCTGTATTGTGCTAGGTAGGACCTCTATGACAATTTTGAACAGAAGCTGTAAAAGTGGACATCCTGCAGGAGACTAAGAAAAGTCACAGACTGGGAGAAAATTATGCAAAAGATGTATCAAATAAAGGACTATTATCCAAAACATAAAGAATTCTTAAAACTCAACAATAAGAAAATGAAAAACCTGATCTTAAAAATAAGCAAAAGACCTGAACAGAGACACCTCACCAAAGAAGACATACCGATGGAAAAGCATATGAAAAGATGCTTATCATCAAATGTCATTAGAGAATTGCAAATTAAAACAATTAGGCATCACTACATATCTACTAAAACAGCCAAAATCCAAAAGACTGACACATCTTGATGCTGATGAGGATGTGGAACAATAGGAACTCTCATTCACTGTTAGTGGGAATGCAAAATGGTACAGCCACTTTGGAAGACAGTTTGGTGGTTTCTTACAAAATTAATATGATCCAGCAGTCGCACTCCTTGGTATTTACCATAATGAGTTGAAAAATTATGTCCACAAGAAAACCTGCACAAGAATGTTTATAAGCCGTTTTATTCATAATTGCCCAAACTTGGAAGAAACCTAGATGTCCTTCAGTAAATGAATGGATAAATAAGCCGTGATACATCAAGACAACTGAATATTATTCAACATAAAAAAGACATAAGCTATCAAGCCATGAAAAGATATATGAGTAAGTGAAAGAAGCCAATCTGAAAAGGCTGCATAGTATACGATTCAGACTATATGAGACTCTGGAAAGAGCAAGACTATTAAAACAGTAAAAGGATCAGTGGTCGCCAGGGAGTTGGAGGAGGGGGTAGGGATGAATAGGCAAAGTACAGAGGATTTTTTAGGGCAATGAAACTATGCTGTACAGTGCTACAATGGTGGATACATGTGATCATAGTTTTGTCAAAATCCATAGAATGTGCAACACCAAGAGTGAACTCTAATGTAAAGTGGGTGATATGATGTGTCAATGTAGGTTCGCGGATCACAACAAATGTACCACTCTGGAAGGGGGATGTTGATAACGGGGCGGATGTGAATATGTCAGCACCAAAGGTGCATGGGTGTCCATATCTTCCTCTCAGTCTTGCTGTAAACCTAAAAGTGCTCTAAAGAATAAAGCCTATTAAAAAAAAATACGGACACCCATACTTTTCACCTATATTTGAGGTAGAGCATCTAGTGTTTCACCATGATATTAGCTCTGGAATTTTTTATGTCTTTCATTAAGGCTGAGAATTTTTTCCTTCTATTCTTATTTTGCAGAGAGTTTTTATCATATGCTGGAGCTGAAATTTGATAAATGCTCTTTTTGCATCTATTGAATTATATAGCTTTTCTCCTTAAATTAATATTTAAATCACACTGTTGAACTTTCATGTTAAACCAACAATATATTATGCCTTTTCTATGTTGCTATATTTGATTTGCTTATATTTTATTTAGGATTTTGTATATGTACTTATAAGGAATATTAATTAATATTTTTTCTTCTCTTGTAATGGCTTCAGGTCTTTTGGTATCAGAATCACAACAGATTTCACAAAATTATCTGGAAACACCTCTATTATCTATTATTATCTGAAAGAGCTTGTGTACTATTTGTAATAGTTTTCTTATTTTTCCCTCTTTTGTTTTCTCCTTTCCTGCTTTTAGTTAGTACTTTACAAAAAGCCCTCTGCCTTTGTAACTAAGGACTTTAGCTCTTGCTCTCGGTGATGGCAATGAGCCTTTGAATGAAAGGGAACAAAACCCAATATTGCATGTATGTACTTTTAAAAAAGTTTTTAAACTCTAAGCTTCTATCATTTGAGGGGTGTGTGTGAGCAGCTTCATGTTTTGGTGAAATTCTGAATACTTCTACGCTTCTGAAAGCAACAGCAGACACACGGGCACGTGCACAGCATATCTGCGCACACACACAGATTAGTTGAGAACCTAGCTTTTGAAATGCCTTACCCCTGCTGGTATAATAAAGGTTGCCATTTATTTAGCTTTAACTACCTTCTTTCTGAAAAGTATGTTAATTACGTAGATCCTGAGGGCACACTAAAGTCATACAGAAAAGAAAAAGGCACCTAGTACAAGGAAAGCTTTAGACAATTAACTATTTACATAGCTGAGAAATTAACATTTCATTGAAACCTGTTGTAATGTTGGCATTTCTAAGTTTTCTAAACAACTGAATCTCAAGTGAAATTATTTTCTAAAGAGACCAGATATACTAAAGACATTATCTGTATCTAAGTAGCAATTTCCAACACACCCCATCATCTCAGAGGGGTACTGATCTAGCCATGTTACACAGCAAGCAAATTGCATACCTGGTATTCAAACTCAGGATTCTCACTCTATTTTTTGTTTGTGTTTGTTTATATATTTATTTTACAGTATCATTTTTAAATTGAAGTATAGTTGATGTGCAATATTATATATTAAGGTATACAATATAGTGATTCACAAATTTTTAAAGCTTATACTCCATTTATAGTTATTATAAAATTGGCTCTATTCCCCATGTTGTACAGTACATCCTTGTAGCCTATTTTATACCTGAGAGATTGTACCGCTTAATCCTCCACCCCCATCTTGCCCCTCCCCCTTCCCTCTCCCCACTGGTAACTAGAAGTTCCTTCTCTACGTTCGTTCGTGAGTTTGTTTCTTTTCTTTTTTTTTTTTCTTAAGGAGTTCTCAGTTCTCACTCTAAATTCAATGTTTTTCAAGTGCGGTATCTCCCTACTTTGAATTATTAATGAAATGCTTAGAGCATTCAACTGGTAGAACACTTTGTCTATTATATGCTCTACCTTTTTATACCCAACATCATGCCTAAGCTCTGGCATATCTGCGTAGCAGTCTTAATCTGCTTTCAAAATGCTGCATTATTTGTCACAACACTGCAAGAATCCATATAAAGAAATGAATAATTAAAATTATACATCAAAAAATTATACATCAAAAGTATCAGTGACAATTAGAACATGTTTACAACATATATATGAAGGTTTGCTATCATTAATATGTAGAGAACTCATTT